TTTTGGTGCATCTGTGTCATTAAATTTGACTGTATTTTGATCAGGCAGCTTTTCCATAGTCGCACTTTAGTGCCTTCATATCTGAGGGATTCCTCTTCTGGAACTATATTGGATATTGTTCCTTTGCCAATCATAAGAGTTTTCAAAGCTTATTACTTCAGAAATGCATGGTGAGTTCTGCTTCCTAACATGATTTGAATACTGCTTTCTAGTATGGGGGTTTTTGTTTGGTTGGGGTTTTTTTATTTTTTGTTTTTCTACAGTTTATTTACAAAATTAAAATACAAATTTCAACAAATTCTTTCAGTTTCCTTCACTCCCCCACCCATCAAATTGTACAACCCAATGATTGATCCCACCTTTCACCTGCACATCCACATCCCTCTGTTTCCAGCCCCTCCCACCCCTCCTAGATCCTTATACTCATTCTAGAATAACAGTTTTATACTCCATTTATCCTTATTTGACTGAGTTAGTTCTCCATTCCCCTCCTAGTTACGTAATAACTTACAAAGTTATTGATCCTGCGTGCTGCATAGTATTCCATTGTGTGAATGTACTATAATTTCTCAATTCATTCATTTGTGGTTGGACATTTGGGCTTTCTAGTATGTTTTGAACCCTGCTTTCTAGTATGTCTTTGTCTGGAAGCTCCACTAGCACCTGTTTTCACAAGTGACCCTTTTGATATTTGAAATGTTGGTGCAATAGTTTCCACTATCGTAACGACACAGGAGTATTCACTGTTGTTTGTACAAGAAACTTTACCCTTCCCTCCAACATACTGTGCTTTACCGTTTCTATGACTTCGCAGTGCTGCTATATTGGACCCTTTGATGGAACTTGTTTGGCATTTCTAGAACTGTTTATCTATGACAGTGGTCAATCGATCACAAAAAGCCCATTTTTCATGCCCCTTCCAAGTCTCTTTCAAGTAGCATAGATAGACACATACAATATTGCCTGCAGGATAAGTATGAATTATCTTGGAAAATAATTGAACCAAAGCTTTGGCTCTAAGAACAACGGAACGCAGAGATGTATGTTCAGAGGTATCATTCCAGCCAAATGGAATATTTTCATTTATCTGGTACCAACTGCACTTCTCAGACTGAAAGACAGACATTTTCATTCACCATGCACAGGAACTGGCACAAGCTATTTTGAAATTAAAGACAGTGCAACACAGAGATTTGGTCAAAACAGCACCAACCACTTTGCATGTGAGGCCAAAAGAGAAAGTAAGGGTTGCACATTTATGGGAGTTAAGAGAGAAAGTTGGCGTGGGCAGGAAAAACAAGTAAGCATGTCATTTAAATTGGAATTTTTAACTACTATACTTATTTTTATCTACACAAGACATCTCTGAATTGTGTTTTAAGTTTTATTCAAAATTTGTTCAACTATCAGCATGGACAGAATGCATTACAGTTTAAAAGCTTACCCTGCTGCCCTTTCCCATTTTTTGCCCTCTCCCATCTGCTTTCACCCCTCCAACCACATGGTGCTCTGATCCGAGTCACTCCAAGGTAGGCTAATGACCATCTTGGAGATTTAGGATACTGTCAAGTTATTTCTACAGATATTCCTCTTGGAAACTGCTGGATTTGCCTACAAAGGATAGTGTTATGATCATTGCTTAGGATCATGGCTATGAAGAGCCTATATTTTTGAACGTGGAACCAAATAAGGGGTACAAGCTAATCTTGTATCCAACGGCTTACCGCTCTTGGAGTATGGTGTGGGCTAATGAAATTAATTTGTAGTCCCTGGAAA